GGATGGATGGATGGATGGATGGATGGATGGATGGATGGATGGATGGATGGATGGATGGACTGTGAAAAAGACATTGCTTTGTTTTTAATTTACACATAAAATACACATAAAATTTGCTGTAAAAAGGATTTTGGACATCTGTTTCATATCTTATCAACAAACAGACAGTATTTTTTTTAGAAATGTATGTTTTATAACTTTTTTAAAGGAATAAAAAACCTTGCAAATTCCTTGCAAAATAAAAAGTAACTTGGGATCACTTCATCTGAAATTCAAAGATTATTCTAATGCGTCGTAGGGAGTCATATTTCTAATATATTATAGTTCACACTGCTACCACACACGTTTTACCAAAAAACAGAAAAATAAGTGTATAAAAACCTGTATTGGTGTAAATCTTCTTTGTATTTATTTTCAAACGAAGATTGATTTTAAAATCTTGTTTTGACTTAAGGTTCAGCAAAATTTATTTATTTTTTCGGTTACAGGACAAAGCGGGTAAAGTAAATTAAACTTAAATTAAAGTACCTTAATTTAAGTAATTTAAATTTTTTTGCTTATTTTTTCAGTTCTAAGTTGCTTTTAAAATTATATTTTTTTACAATATAAAATTTCATTAGTTACTAATTTTGTTTACAGGTATAGTTTTTGCTTTTTTGAATACTTCTGCAATAGCTTTACATTAGCAACATGGAAACATTGAAAACAAAAAGGTTTATAAATTGATTTTCTTTTTCATTTTGCTTATGTATAGATGGTTTTGATGACTTTGCACTGTTAGGTTTAAAATCCACTGTCAGAAAAGGCAGATGAATGACTCCATCTGTGGTCACACAAAGCCCATGTGAAGATAATTAATTGCCACCATGGAAGTCACATTTCTGAAACACCTCTGGTATCAAAGCACCGAAGTTTTAACATTGACCTGTTTCTCCTCTCTCAAAAATAGCTCTGATTTGACCAAGATTAATGGGGCTTTGGGGAGATATCCACAGTCTGAATTGGTGTATGATATATAGAGGAATATCCCCATTTCCTTTCCTCAAATGCATGCACTGATAATCCTTATCACAGTTTAATAAAAACAAGCTACTTAGTTTATACTTAATGATAAAAAACATTTTATTGTTGTGCTTGTTTTATAAATGCCATTTAATGTCATGAATTGTTGTTCTCTCTCCTTATATACATGATGTATTAGATCATTGCCATATGTCTATAAAGGACAGCATCTGCTAACTATTTGGTACTAGATTAAAACCTGCCAAACATTAATTATTCCTCCCTATCAGTTACTAGACTTTTTAAAATCCCTATTAATACATCTGTAAATATTAAACATCTTCATGTTGTATTAAATGTGCAACATCACCTATATGCTTATTGAGGAAAATATTACATTGGTCAAAAAAATATAATTTTAATGTACTTTCATGATGCCATAACAATTCAAGCAAAATATTTCCCTAAGATTTCTGTAATTACTAGATTTGAGTCCTAACAAAATAAAATTTTATTGAAAAAACAATTATAGGTAAAGTAAACTGACAGCAGATCAATCTGGTTCACCTCACCTTAAAGCCCTCCTGAGTGTACAGTTTCCTGACGTGATACTCCATGAGTTCAGAAACCTCCTTCAAGAACAGGCCAAAGCTATGCAGACCCTTAGAGTGCAGAGATATAGTCTTTCTAAATGAAGGGTCGCTGTTTTTCACCAGCACAATCTTTTTATCATGTATTCGATGATGAATATTGGATTCTTTGGCAGAGTGTGTCCGTTCATGCATACTTGGCCCCCGTAGAACATACTGGTGCGGCGGGTGATTATGATAAGGGTGATAGAAAGGCAACAGCTGGTTCTCTACAGCCTCTAGAGTTTGGGCCTGTTGATATGCAGAGCAAAGACAGCATCCATGCTCTAATTCCTGATAGGCTACCATGCCATGCTGAGGAATCCGTGGTAGCCACGGGGTGTGATGCTCAAAGGGCACAGAGGACTTGTGGGAATCTTCTCCTCCAACTGCAGTGAAGCAGTGGAAGTTGTGCTTGTGACAGGACATCTCGGCTTATCGGGATTTGATGATTGCGTCCATGACGTCAGAAGAGTAGAAAACGTGGGTCAGACACACTGTTGGAGTTTTGAAAGGGATTTCATGAATGTCGTGGAGAAAGGTGGTCTGCATGGCCTCCACTTATCCAGGGCTTAAAGAAAGATGAGAAAGTAATGAATAACGGAAAGACTATCATTTATCAAGACAGGAAATAGTAGAATATATCATCTCGAAAACCTTTTACAATAAAGACTAAAGAAGAAGAAAGGAATATGTAAATTAGTAAGATTTTTTTTTTTTTCTCCTGGTTAAATTCAAAACTATAAGAGTTTATCTTAAAAATATAACCTTATACATTGAATAACATTTAAAGTTATAGTGGAGGATGTTCTTTTTCTAGGTGGATCGTCAGAATAGGTGGTCCTTGTAATTGTCAATCATTCTGGTGATATGTTTACGTGAGACTCGTCCCCATTTTCACTTCCTGGTGATGAGTCTGACATAGTGGAAAAATTGCAAATATTCTTTCACAGAGTGTGCACAAGGAGAAATGGGCTCGTGCATGCTCTTGCACTAAAGGGCGCTCCCTCTCAGGAGCAGGTACAGGTTTGTGCAGGTGCATTATTTTTTTTTTAAGTGAAGAAGGCGGGTCTTTTTAAAAAATCACGAAAATCCTCCACTATACCTTTAACCTAGGTTTTGACTTTCATTTCTGCAGTATATTAAGCTGTAGTGCACAAGCTACTATTATTTTGGACATTTCTCCTGTTCATAAATGTCTGCTTTTGCATGCTAACTAGCTGAAAAACAACCCTGTCGATCCACAGTTCTTCTTTTAGAAAAAGAACATCTATGTGTATTAGGACAATGCTATTTTAGTCTGAAATAGTGTGCATATAGAGAATTAAACATTACTGTTTTTGTGGGGCTCTTCTTAAAATTCTTTAACTGCTCTCTTAACATTATTTTTACATTTAAGACTAAATTGTGCTCTCACAATTAGATCACTAGACTTATTAACAGGTATAATCTATAAAGATCTATGCCACAGACTATACTGGATACTTTTTATGCACAACAGACCCCTTAATGCTTTGGCTTAAAGTACTAAGTGATAAAAATAGATGTAATCTTCAGTTATCTTTGCCATTTTAAGCAGGCTGCAAAGGACTTGGTTGCTACTTAGGGATTGTTCTGACTGGTGTGGAGATCAAATGGTAAATGAAGGCACGGATAATGGGCGTACAGCCCCAAATAAATCCCTCATGTGACTTTAAATAACAAGCTTATGCCTGTGCAAGCAGTGAAAGTGGACTTTACCTCAGTGATTGTCTCCATCTCCGGCAAAAATACATTGTTTGCCAGTTTCTCCTGTAATGAAAATCCAAGGATTACTAACCATAGCCCAAATATCACATTGGAGTACAATGTATTCTTGTAGTGACAATACTAAGGGGGTTTACGACAATTCTCTCTGACAGGAAGGGATGAAATGCCTTCTCGTCTACAAAGAGATGCAAAGCAAGAAATTTTGGAAGCAGTAAAATAGGCCAAGCTTGACTGACATTCATGCTTTGTCTCTCAACCTCTGTTTTATATTAGCAATGTTTAATTTTAATTTTGTTTAGTTTTTTATTTATTTTTGCGAGGGGGGTAGAAAAATATGACAAGCAAAAGTCTGTTAATTCTACAGAAGAATTTACAGATTATGGTTCAACATCAGTTCAGTTTAGAGGCTACAAATCTGTGTTATTGTCTCAAATATATCTTAAATAAAATGCTGATTATCATGTTAAACTTAGGATTTAGGCCCTGTGTGCGTCCTCAACATATTGATTTGATTCAATGTAATTTCATTACTAACACTCAGTGTTAATCTTTTCCTGGTGTTCTTTGACTTCAGCAAGAATCAAATTCTCAAATGTGAGAAAAGATATATTTGGTTTTGGCTAAAACATACAGAAACAAAACTTTGAGAGCATATTGTGTACAAAGCAAACATTAAAATGTGAGCCCCTCTGTATAAATGATGGTGTTCTTTCCAAATAGAAAGTTAAATGAGGGGTCAACAATACAATGTGTTACACCGTCTTTCTTATCAGTTTCACGTACAGTATATGTAAGTGCATATATTATTAGTGTTATTTAAAAAATTTTCTGAACACAGTCCAATCTTACTGAAAATGTACTATTGCTGAACTGATAGAGTATTTGTTTTTATCCACTAAATTAGTAATGCAAATGTTTTCTCCTTCTTTACTCAACATAGAAAAATTGCAAACAAGGCTATGAATGTTTTGATTAATGCGGTATATCTGCTGGGTTTGGGGTTGGCAAAAAGCTGTGGAAATATGTCCAACCAGCAAAATAAAACCAACCAGACCAAGCTGATAGAAATGTTCAAGGAATAGACCAGACAAAATAAGGTGGATATTATTTATGCATATGCATAAATAAAGAAAAATACTTACATAGCATAAATACATAATCCAGATAATTACATTACTGAAAATGAAATATAGTTCCAAAGTAGTAGAGAGTTGAATGGAAGTTCCTAAAGAAACATCCAGGAAAGTTGCCGCTTCAAAGCTTCCCTCCAGAAGTTGGCCTGCCTGCTAATCAGATGCAAGAGACGCTAAGGATAGACTGAAAAGCCTTGCTAATCACTTTGAGATTGAACTGAAATCTGCTGAGGCTTTGGACACATGACTTGGACCTTACCATTGCACTAAGCCAGTTAAACGTTCTTGTGGAGATCAAGGAGGATGCCTACCAACCCATGACTAAGCAAATACTGTATGTGTCCACTTTTACTCAATTCTTTTTAATCAGCAAATAATAATAAAAAATAAATTAATACTTTGACTAATATCTTTAAATGCATGATTGTTGATTATGTCTTTTCATCTAACCTGTCCATATTATTCAATATAAAGCATGTTGTTAACCGTTGTTACCTTTATTTCTGCACTAAAGGATTTATGTTGAAAAAATATTTTCATAATAGCATTGTTATACTATCAAGCTCTGGCTTTTTAAAATATATTTATAATGTACATTTCGAATACTACAAAAGCATTACAGGAATCCTGGTGACTGGCATTTCTTTCAATCTTGAATAAGCACTTAGAGCAGGCACCCTGGAGCCATTTTGTAATAACTATTTATAATCACACAGGTTCATGTTAGGATACGACGAGCCTCCCAAATATTTCATACATCTAGCTTTCCTCTAGTTGGGTAGGAAATTTGTCAATGGTCTGAAGAAAAATAATAGCTCAAAAAAACAAAATATCATAATTACAACATTCATTATGTTTTGTTATTTTGAAAAGAATAGTAGTTGTAACATTTTATTTAAACGGCATGATGGTATGCATTTTTGTTTCACAGGTGTGAGTTGATACAGCTTTACTGTGGGTTATACAGGGATGAAATACATATTTAATTTAAAAAAAATGAAATTTTTCATAAGCTTTTTTAAAATTGATCAACTTTTATGTATTTTATTATATATTTTACTTTTGATTGATTTTAGTGTATCCATTACTGTCTTGTGTGTTGATTTTCCTTGCAGGGCTTTGGAACATCTTTCATGTATCATGAAATGTGTATCATCGTCTAAACACATTCAGAATGCAGTATTTTATCATATGTTGAAGAGTTTCAGACCAACAAAAAGGTCCACCAGCCTATTCAGTTGCTACCAATTCTTACATTGTTTTCTTTTTTTTGTTCTTTTTTTTTTTTTTTAGTATGAATAATTTCCTGTTATAGATTCTGTTCTCCAAATAATTAATTTCTTTTTAAAACATAAGCTACTACTAACGCTTGGGAAAGTTATTAAAATGGTACTACAGGGGTCCGGTCATTTAAATCATGGACGGATGAAATGCCATGAGGACTATTAGAAATTTACACTCATTGGCTCCTCATGATCTCAGTTGTTATGATGAATGATTTATCACAAGTAATTCTCCACCCAGTGGACTTTTGTGCAAAGTCTATGTTCCCTCCTGAAGAGATTGATGGGTCATGGTGAGGGAGATAACTCAAGGTGAACTGACTAACTAAATCCTGATTCATGGGAAAGCCAGACTAAAGGACCCTTCTGCTGAGTCATGAGGTTTAGGTCAGGATGAGTCAGGGGGAAATGCATGACATTGTAATAGCAGTACACATTAGTGTATTAGCAGAGCACAACCCCTCTACCCTCTATGGAATATGAGGACTGGTGAGTTTCTGTTAACTTTAAATTTAATAAAAATTTAACTTTGAAAAATGTGGTGTTGTTTTATTAAAAGTCAGACCTCTGAGATAAAGAAGAATTCCTACTACTCTGACATTAGACAGATAGAAGTGCCTGGCAGTCCACTAGAGGTTAAATAAAATTGTTTCTCTCAGCTTACAGATGTCTTTCTGCTTAGTAATCCATGGAGCTGGCGGTTGTCTACCCTCCACCATGTGAAGGCACTTCGGATCACACTCACAGCAGGACGCTACAAAGCTTATCAGCCCTGGAGCTCACACGTGGGCAGTGATTTCCCAGCTTAGTGCTCCCTCCTCCTGGTTGTAGTTTAAATATCATGGCTAATTAGGGAGCACCCTGCTGTGCAGCGGCACTCCTGCTGTATTAAGTCACAGTCCAAACAAAGGAGACACTGAGGAATAAATACACTGCTTTTATATCATCTGTCCAAAATTGTGATATTAGTCATTGATATTAATGTAAATACCACTACATATGTTTAAAAAAGTATTTCTTATGAAATGTGATTTTAGTGATACAGTGCACTAATTACATGTCTATAATTTTTTTTTTCATGAACTGCAGATTTTATAGAAGTAAATTGGCAAAAATAATTTGAAACTTTAAACAAATTTAATCCATACTGACACATGCTGATTGCTGACATTTAAGCTTTATGTTTCCACAAACCCTCCAAAAAATTCTCCAAAAAATAAATATATATTTTGATCCAAACATTTTGATAGTGCCTGAAACTATT